TTCTTTGTGGGCTGCTTAAGTTTTGTTTGTCAAGAAAAAGGATGGAGTTACTTAAAGATTATGACTATACTATATTGTATCTCCTAGGTAAGGCTAATGTTATAGTCGATGCCTTAGGTAGGAAGTCAATAGAGAGTTTATCTTATTTATCAAAGGAGAAGTAGCCATTGGCATCAAAAGTAAATAGATTATAAGATTCCGGATTGGTGTTTAGAGTAAGTAAATCGAGTGTTCTTTTGGCCTATGTTAAGGTTAGGCTAGTTTTGGTGGATCGGATCCAAGAGGCCCAGTGGATGATGAAGAAATACAAGAGATATTCGTTAAGATGCTTGAAGGAAAAGGTATGAGTTTTAGAGTGGATGGTAGAGGTACTCTATGATTTCATCAAAGGTTGTGTGTGTTAAAGAATCGAAGTTAAGAGAACAGATTTTGAGAGAGGCTTATAGTATAACCTATTTTGCACATCCTCACTATGTCAAGATGTATAATGATCTTTATAAGCATTATTGATGGACTGGAATGAAGAAAGATATTATAAAGTTTGTTTCACGAGTGTTTGACTTGTTAGTAAGTAAAATATGAGCACTAGAAGACAATAGGAATGTTGTATGAGTTGCCACTATCGAAGTGGAAGTAGGAGAGAGTGACAATAGATTTTATTATGGGTTTGCCTCGAAAGCCAAAGAGGTTATGATTCGATTTGAGTTATTATGGATAGATTAACTAAGTCTACTTATTTCATACTAGTAAAGACTACCTATAGATGTGCTCCATATGTACAACTATATATTGATCGGATAGTATCTTTGTACGACATTTCAATTTTCATCATTTCGGATTGAGGTATTTAGTTTACTTCTCGATTCTAGAGGAAATTATAAAAAGATTTTTGTATGAGAGTAGATTTCAATACAGCATTCCATCCTTAAATAGATTAATCGAAAGAAAGATTTAGACCTTAAAGAATATGCTTAGAGCATATGTGATGGATCAAAAAAGTAGTTAGGATAACCATTTTTCATTAATCAAATTCTCGTACAATAATAGTTATCACTCCAGTATTGATATGTCACCGTATGAGGCTTTGTATGATCGAAAATATAGATTACCAATATATTAGATGGAAGCCGAGGAAAAGGAACCTTTAAGGCCAAAACTAATTCGAGTTTATTATCGAGAAGGTGAAATTGATCTAAGAATGCCTTAGGACTATACATTGTAGACAAAAGGGTTATACATATCCTAAGAGGAGCATGCAAAATTTTAAAATGGTGATTTTTTGTTTCTTCGAGTTTCTCCGATGAAGGAAGTAATGTGGTTTGGTAAGAAGAAAAAGTTAAGCTCGAGGTATGTTAGACCATTTAAGATCATTAGTCAAATTAGAGTGTTGACTTATGAGTTGGCATTGCTATCATAATTTTTGAATATACATCTTGTGTTTCATATTTCCATGCTAAGAAAATATGTACACGATCCATTTCATATCTTAAAACGAGCAATTGATGGATTTAAATCTTGACTTGTAATATGAGGAGCAATCGATGGCAATAATAAACCTCTAAATTAAGAAATTATGTAATAAGGGGATTGTCTCCGTTAAGATCTTTTGGAGGAACCATTCAACCAAGGAGGCCGAGTTAGGAGGTTGAAAAGGAAATGGAAAGGAAGTATCCTCACTTGTTCACTTACAAATGTATGGTTAGAATTAAATTCGAATATGAAATTTTCTTAAGAGGAGAGAATGTAATAATCTATCTTAAAATAATATTTCGAGTTAGCAACTAATTAAAAAAAATTAGGTCGGGTATAAAAAGGGGACAACTACTCGTCCCTCTCCATTTTTCTTTCCTCTTCCTTCTCCTTTTCATACCATTCTCTCTAATTTTCCTCCCAATTCCCTCTTTTAAATTTTAAGCTAAATCTTTGTTAAATTAGCTTAGAAAAATCATAAAACAAGTTGGTTTAAGTTGGGTTTAGTTGGATTGAAGCTTGGAAAGCTTGGAGAGTTAGGATTGAATTTGGGTTGAAGAACCAATTCTCAAAGGTAAGAGTTCTTGGCAATTGATATTTAAATTATGATGTTTATATGTATCTATTGATGATTTTGAAGTTAGATTGCATTGATTTTATTGTTAGGATGAAGAATTGAGTTAGATTAATGTTAGGGTTTGAGACCCATTTGAAAAAAAAAGTTACTTAAGTGATTATAAATGATTAAATGGTGTTTAATTATTTTAGATAAGTGGTTTATGAAGTTAAATTGAAGTAGAATGGAGTAAATTTGATTAATTGAGAGGTAAAGGTGATGAATAGTGAAAAAAATCTAAAATTGGGTTTTGAATTGAAAATAATTTGGAGAAAATAAAGAATTAAGTTATATAAACATAATTAAAGATGAATGAAATGAGTATTGAGTGAATTAAAATAAAATTGATGATTTAATTAAAAATTAATTATTTAAAGTTTTGAATTGAATTTGAGAAAAGATGGTATGTATGAAGGTTGATTGAATTGGGGATTGAAGATGGGATATTATTAGACGATTTTTTAGAATTATTAGAGAGATTATAAAATTTAGTTAAAGTTATCGGTTTGAATCTTCCAATCAATTTCTATTCTTATACATAATCTTGTATTCTTATTTCTAGAATAGTTCATTGTTTTGAATTACTCTTTGATATGTGATATGGATGGCTATTCAACCATCTTATCTTATTAGATTGTTCGAGTGGACGACTCCATCACAGCGAACCTTGATTCTGTTTGATCTTTCATTTATACTCGTGAATGGATATTATATAGCATGGTATGCTTTTAAATTCCTTTGATATTTTTATCATGCATCATCGATTTATCTATGATTTAATTGTATTCCTTAGAAATTAGGCGGGAATAGACCCCATGAGTATTTAAAATAATTTCATATCTAAAACGATTTGATGTGATTTAAAAAAGGATTTGAATATACATATGAGCAAGTGTTTTGAAAATGGTTTGATATGCAATGTTGGATTTAAATATTAATTTACTTTAGATTGATATTTGATTATTCATGTAATTTTTGTTAATGTTTATTTGATATGGAATTGTACTATCAAATATGATTTGAGCATGTATTGTATTGACATATTGGATTTGAATATTTTGAAATATGTATAAAGTTTATATGGCTTTCGTTATGTTTTAGTTATCTTAGGGTACCTAGCTAAGGGGGACATAACCTTTAAGCTCAATGATACGAGACTCCAGCCTACTAGGAGAGGTGTAGTGCTAACTCGTGTGTCGGCCAACATATGAAAACCTAATCACAAAAGGCGTGACCTTTGGATGCTTGCATCGAATGATACGTTATATTTTCACCCTAAGTGTAATGCAAACTTAAAAGTATGATTCGATTTGAGTATGATATATGTATATATAAATGTTTTACTCGATTGATATGAATTGGTTTTAAACCTTTAAGATTCGATATTTATGATATGCGTTTGATTTGAAGAAATAAACATTGCATCTTGATTCGAATTTTAAGTTATCATCCTTAATCCGTTTTCCACCTTTAGATATGTTATATAGTATTTACTCACCGAGCCGTTGATTTGCTCACCCTCCATAATTTTAGTTTTGCAAGGTTTGTGAGAGTGTCCTTTTAGCTTTCACTCAACTCGCTTGTCTTAATGCTCGGCACATTGATTGTGCGGCTTATTTACTTATAATCTCTTAGAACTTGTGTTTGATTTTGTTATAATTTTTAAAAGCTTTGTAGTTATAGCTTGCGGGAGTTATATTAGAATTTGATTTTGAGTATTGATTTGAGAAATGCAAGAATAGCATTGAATTATGATTTATGTTAGAGTTATGAGTATTAATTATGTGGTCATGATACTATGAATATGGAATGATGTTTGGTGTAATATAAGTTTGAGGATTATAGTTTTAGTATTCAAGACTTGTTTAAGCCGAGATGGGCTTTACAATTTCCTCGATTCTCATATCGATAATAGCCTACTTCTAGGATCGTAACAATACTAACCTCATATCATTGTGAATGGAATAAAACTTTTTAATTTTTAGCAAAATCTCCGAACTCTCTCTAAAAGCTCTATCACTTATGTACCAAACCACATTTAAAACTCCATTTTTTTAGACTTTAATTCACTATTTTACCTACCAATCAACTTACTCCTTGCTAGCATTATTTTTTTCTCCTCTCACACCTTTCATTATTTGCATTCATTATACTTGGTTGATTAATCATTACTTATACAAATCACAATAATAGCTCTTTATATATTAATTGATGTGTCGACTAGTTGTCCGATCAATTTTAAAGAATCTTTCTTCCTTTCGATACACACAATTATTAATTTTGAATTCAATAATTTGGATCGGATGAGAAAAATAAAATATAAGTATGTAGATTGTTTTTTTATATATATAACACGCTAAATTATGTCTATTCAATTGAAATTCAATAATTTAGATTTAAAAAATATAATAAATGGAACATAAAAATATCTCTACTCTGATTAATATATAGAATATCTGTTTAAAAAAACTGTTTCATTAAGACATTGAAAGACTAATATTTTTTCTTCATATGTATACAAAAACCAATGTTTTTGGAATTTATAATCAACGGCTTCCATAAACCTATAAACAAATCCCAAAACCACCAAATGATGTCGCCTGCGCAAGTCAAGCTATCTAATCTGGCACTCTGTACAGTTCATATTGCAACCTGAAACATTAATAGATAAGTACTTCCACCCCAACCCCCACCCCGCCCTAACCAAAAAAAAAAAAAAAGTAAAGTAGTTTTCCTAATAGATTAATCAATAAATAAACGATACCATCGGCTTTTGCTTTTGACCTTTTTTTTTTTTTTTTTTTTTTTGCAGACAATCAAGAAGGGCTCCTCATCCCCAGGATCAGATCTCAATCTTTGTTTTCGTTGCAATTTTAAAGTTAAACCCCAAAAAGGTTTACAAAACTAAAAAGCCATGGCAGATGCTCATGTAATACTCTTACAAACAGACCACCAACTTCCTACCAACACCCCTCTTCTTGATGACGAAGATAATAATAGTGAATCAACTCCTAATCACACCCATAATCACAGTCCACAACAACAACGCAACCAAGAGATTTATATTCCAAACCAAGACATTAAATATGTTGATCAAGCACTAAAAAAGCTAGAAGCATATCTATCATTTCTGGGTTTCAATCAGTCTTCCCTAACAAGTTTCCTACTTTCATGGGCTGCTTTTCTACTGATTGGTGTCTTGCTTCCAGTGGCAATACTGGAGCTGTCCCAATGTTCAGGGTGCGAAAAGTACCAGATTAAGGATTTCGAACTGGATATTGTGGCATCTCAGGCCTGTCTTGCCGCTGTTTCTTTGATTTGCTTATCACATAATTTACGCAAGTACGGTATTAGAAAGTTTCTCTTTGTTGATCGTTTTGGTGGCCATATGTCTCGCTTTACCCTTCTCTATATTCAACAGATTAAGGTAATTTGCTCTCTTAGCTAACTTGTATATTACTAGCTCAACTCTGTTTGTGGATTCTTCTTCATGTTGTGTTAACTGCTTGTAGGCTCTTTTACAAGTTTGGAACTTCTGCATTCATAAGTTCCTCTGCGTTTTAACATAGCTGGATTCGAATTCATCACAATTAGCAATCATGCGTGAATTATGGTTGGTTTAAGTAGATGCTTCAAGTTTCAATGCCAACTCAAGTTTTGTCAAAAGTGTCAAAGATTATAGATTTGCTCATTTTTGCCCACAATTTGCTTACTTGCTCACCAAAAAGCAATATTTTCATAATTTCTTGCCCCAAATAAAAGATTAATACTTCCGTCAAAATGAAGAGTGCGCAAGGCATAAATCATTCAACGACTGACGATTTAAACTCTTATCGGCTTCTGTCCTCTGATTCTCATATTACTTTGTAATCCCAACTCTTGAAAATCTGTTTCCTTTACAATTTCTCTTTCATCTGTTGAGAATGCACTTGCAGTTGAGTACTTTTGAATCATAATAGTAACTTTACACTTTCTCACCAACATAAGTTATAGGTTGTTGAGGTATCATCCTTTTAGGTCTTCAATGAAATATTTCAGTCACAATTCCAATGAATGCTGCATTAAGAGACATGGTTTGGATAATTTCTTGCACAGGATTCCTTACGCTTGCTGATCTATTGGTCGCTTCCATGCTTCATTCTGAAAGTTGTGCGTGAAGTTATCCGTGTCTTTTATGTACGTCATGAATCATGGTTGATGTCTACTGCTGTTTTAATCAGTCTGATTATTTCCTGGAGTTACGTGAGTGGAATATCTTTATCAGCCAGCATTTTGTTTCATCTAATCTGCAACTTGCAAGTAATTCACTTTGACGACTATGCAAAGCTTTTGGAAAGGGATCATGATGTTTTGGTTTTTATAGAGGAGCACACTCTTCTGCGCTATCATCTCTCTAAGATAAGTCATAGGTTCCGAATCTTTCTCATTCTACAGTTCTGTGTTGTTACAGCTAGTCAGTTTGTGACTCTATTCCTAATCACAGGTTATAGTGGAATTATTACTGCTATAAATGGCGGTGATTTTGCAGTAAGTGCTCCACCACCTGTTCCTCTGTAAATTGGCTGGATAAACCGTATTTGTGGATTTCAATTCTTTAAGGTCCCATCCTTAAGGGCTTGGGTTACATATGTTTTATAAGGCTTGCATTCCTAGGGTTCGAATGGGTTTCACATCTATTTTGACATACAGAAGAAGTTTTCTAACTTCCATGCTTCATTTAGAATTTTGTGTTGCATGCATTCGGCCCCTGATTTTCATTGTCGTTTTCCCCAACTTTTCAGGTTTCCTCAATTGTCCAGGTTGTTGGCATAATTCTTTGCTTGCATGCTGCTACAAAGATATCCCATAGAGCTTTGGGTATTGCATCGATAGCAAGTAGATGGCATGCATTAGCAACATGTAGTCATAATGATACATCTCAAATTAGAGTTTCAAACAGTATGGGGAACTTAGAAGCGCTGTATCCACATAACTCATTACAGATAAATTACTCTGAAAGCGATGTGGAGTCATTTGATTATATTGCAACGCCTACAAATGTGCAGTTGGCATCCTACATGACCTCGTATCACAAAAGGCAAGCCTTTGGTATGATATTTTATCTTGCTTCTACTTTTTCACTTGAACATCAGAAATTATTTCTGTTTTAATGAGATATTATCATATTTTCTACAAAATATGTTCAGAGTATAATTGTGGGATCCATGATTACCACCAAAGAGATTCAATATCATACAAAGATAGAAAAATCCTGAGATTACTGCAGTCTAAAATCAATATTCATCGTCTATTCCAGATTGGCATCATCTCAGTATGAGTGCTTGTAGAAAGTAATTGTTTCTCTTTTTATGTACTGTGTGCTTTAAGTTATGTTGTATACTTAGGTTTAAAGCTGTCAATCAGAGATAGGCGTCAGGGCATCACAATAGATGGAGCAGAAAGGACGTTATACATGCACAGTGTTTCTGTTACCATAAAAACATTGCGTTGCTGAAATTTTCTACTTTCAGAATACTGAAATTTTCAGCCATGTATGTGACCTTCTTTGTCTTTATATGCAGCATTCTTAGAATGGAGTCCATGGATTCAAATCTATGGGATTATTTGATATAAATTTATCATTTAAAGCACTTTGAAACACTTCAAATAAATGCATAGTCGTGGTGATATAATGGCATTTTATGGAGAAACACTTGCAAGTTCTGAATCTGCCTATGGATTGTAGGAACTTTTCAAACACGTTTAGATAGATGCAATACTCAGCTTAAGACCTTCAAGTCATCAATGAAAAAAACACCATTTCCAATATCCATGTCTTTTAAGAGTTTTCTTCTTTCAATTTTTCTATATCACGGCCCCCTCCATAATGCGTGCAGACTGCAGACACCCAGTTCTGTGATCTTGTGATCTCTTGATGACCAAATCAAGTTGGGTCGCAGTAATTCTTATTTACCTTGTTGTACGCTTTAAAGTACTTTATAGTGATTTGTTTTCAACTTTTTTTTTTTTTTTTTTGTCTTTCATTACTGCTTGTATAAACTTGGGTTTTGCTTCTATATATTGGCATCTCAATTCTCATGATTGGTTTATCTGGCTATGCAGTGCTGTATTTGCAGAACAATCCTGGGGGAATAACTATTTTTGGCTGGATTGTTGATCGAGGACTTATCAACACAATCTTCTGCATTGAACTCACTCTAGTTACTTTTCTTCTTGGTAAGACTATAGTCTTCCCTTCATGATGACAATTCCTATGACGACCGCTCCAAAGATCTCTTTCTTCCATAACTTTGCTGTCGAGAAATCTGTCTCAGTAACACCAAGATGAACCCATCACTGCACCTAGGCTTGAATCTTGATGACTTCCTGGAGTTCATTTGTTGTGAAGTTCCCAATTCCCAATGACAGTTGATTTGTTGTAGACTTCCCAATTTCCACTTCTGGCGTTGGATTGGTATCCACAACTATTGAAGTGACGAATCAGATGATAACCAAGGATGGCTGCATGTCGTAGCCTACAGGCTACAGGGTTGGTGGAGAGAGAGATTGAGACTGCGAGAGAGAATGTCTCTGCTTCTAGCGTAATCTGTAAGCTACAAGCTATTATGCCATGTTTTCTGGATAACCTGAAAAGAAAACCTTACCTGGGCAGCTACTAGTAGTCTATGTCAAATTTGATTCGTGTAATTATATGTATATCAACTTACAATGTTTTGACTATGAATTATTGAGTGGCTATACAATTTATAGCATCTCAGAAGCGCGAGGCTAACAGTACCACGGCAGTAAAATTCCAGAACCAGTTTTTCTTTTTCTTCAACCTCAAAAAGAAAGGGTCATAATTTCATTTTTAGCCTTTCTCATCAGCACTGTAAGTTCGGTGCCTCATTGAGTCAACACTAATGTTTCCTACCGTCAATATCAAGCTGCTCGGTAGGTTTGTAACATTTGCGAAGGTTCAGAAGCTTGGCAAAGGGTAAATTAACTTTTGCGATACGAATTAAATATTTTTAAAAAACAAACTGATTAGTTAGTTTTTTCACCGGTGATTATAATTAATTTCATATTATTTTATTTAAAAAAATATTAAAACGAAAAACAATATATTTTTAAAAACAAAAAATGATTAAGTTTTAAATAGATTTAAAATATAAAAACTAATTAATTAATTATTAAAATTGCAGAAACTATTTAATTTCTTTTGAAAAACTAAAGGTGCTAATTTATTATTTACTCCTTTCCAAATAAATCCTTGAGGAGAACGGCTAGAAAAAACGCATATGCAGACTTGCTTTCCAAGCCGTTTGAATTTTCTTTTACCTTATCCTACGTGGAAATTTTAATGTACTTTTTTTTTTTTTTCAGTTTACAACAAACCCTATTTTTAGTTTTTATCTTGCTGTACTTCCGTTAATGCTGGCTATTTTTTTTTTTTCCCTTCTCTATTTTAATCTGTGTATGGTTGGAAACATTACCATATGTATGGTTAGAAAGAAAAGGCTAACAGAAAGATGATTTGGTTTCGTTCCAAGGGAAACTTCGAAAATCAGAGGATTCAATCGTAGAAAAAACAAGGCAAACTAAGAGACAAGGTTAGGAGAAAAACATATATACTGTTACTACTTAGCTTTTATAAGATTATAGTGTCAACTTACAAAATTTGCCCCATTATGACCTCTACTGCTCTCCCAATTATCGCTCGACCTTCTTTTTTTAATCCAATATATAAATTTTAATTTTTTTCGTTCACCATTGAGGTTCAAAAATATTAAATTATAATTTTATCTTTTTACATAAACTTTAATTTTTTTATTTAAATATATTAATTTTTTTAAAACTACTAATCAAATACTTCATTCAATTTCTTCATTAACTTAAAATTCTTCATTAACTTATCTTCATTCAATTTCTTCATTAACTTATCTTGATACCAAATTACTTTTTTTTTTTTTGTTGCAAAGAACTTTTCCTTCAAATTATCTACCATTTTAAAATGTGATTAAAAAATTTAAAATATATATATATTTTTTAACTATGAAGTCTAGAACTAAACTCAATTAAGCTTTCTACCAAAAAAGGAAAAAAAAAACAACAATTAAATTCAAAGCATTAAAATTAAACAAAACATAAATGTGAGATTTTTCATCGAAAGTATTCATTTGAGTTTTTTTTTTTTTAATTTTCACTCAAGTTTTTTAGTTTCATTTAGATTTTATACCTAAAAAAACAATTTTTTTAAATTTTGTCAACTTTTAAAATGATAAAATAATTTAAAAAGAAAATTCCTTTTAAAAAAAAATCATAATTCTATCAAGCATGTCATTAATTAGAGAAAAAAATATAATAATTTAAAAAAATTAGTACACTAAAAAAAATATTAAAATCCATGTACTTGATTAAAAAAATACACATTTATAATTTGGTATTCTAAAAGTGACACACATCATCCCCTAACAAAAATATATAATTAATAGTTTGAAAAAATTGTATACTCAAACAAAAAGAAAAAAAATCAAACACACGATTGAAAAAAAAAATTAATACACTTATAATGCACTTATGCCATAAATAATCCCATAACACCTTCTTTCTGAATGCATACACACCCAATGGGCAACGTACACATACAAGATTAACCGGAGATTCAGCTATTAACGGCTGGTTTACTCTGGAGACATCATGCAAGTTCAACTTGCTTCTAAACATCCATTCAAATTTTATTTTTATTCCCAAGGTAAATGTAGTTGAAATGCTACAAATCCCCAGCCCCGAACAGCATCATCAGATGCTAAATGCATCGTAACAAATCAAAATCTGCTGTGATAAATACACCATTTCTGAACCAAAACGCAGGTTAAGGCAACAGAAACCCTTGTAGATTTGTTGTGAGTTAAAAAAATCTCTGAGGACCATCACATCCTTGTAGTCTGTGACATCTCAAATGTAAAATTTATGCAACATACTCGTAGTCTGTGACATCTCAATCAAGAGTAAAATTAATGCAACATCCTTGTAGCCTGTGACATCTCAAACAACAATAAAATTTATACAACGTCCACAAATTGAAAATAAAAACTAGTAAAATTTGAAAGAGGCAGGAAGTGAAGGTTGCTGTGGAAGTTCCAGAACGGAAAGTGGATTCTTTGAAATTCATTCATTCTGCCAGCCACACCTATTTATGCATCTAGGCATGGAAAACAACCAAACTAGCTACTTCCAAGACAAAACTGCACAGGCGAGCACAATACTCCTAGGAAGTGTCTCTTTTGTAAGGGTGTGTGCAATGTAGTTCAGCCGCTACAACAAATGATAGATCACCAAATCCACAATCACCTACTTTTGCAGTCGACATTATGCAAAATCGATGAGCAGGGAGATGATATAATATGAAATACTTATAGCAGCTTGCTTCAACAAGGTCAGAAAAAGTTTGGCTACAAAAAAGAAGAAAACAAATAAATACTCCAGTAACAGAAACACTGGGTCCGTATATGCTCTAGCTATTTCATCACAAGCTTCACAGGAATTATAGCTAAACCACTAATCAGTTTCATAAACCAGTTAGACTGACAACTAAGAAGAATATAATTTGAGGAATGATGGAAGAAATCGGGCGCCCTTTGAACAAACTATGCACATCAACTATTCAACTACTAATCCAAAATGACATCAGGTTCCAATCACTATTCTTAAGCAACAGATACTCCATAACCAATAGAGATGAATCCAACAGTTACTCCATAGCCAATACACATGAATCCAAACTGTTTGCCAGCTACTTAGATGGTAATGTAGAATTTTTTTTTTCAAGTGATGTTTCACAATATCCTTGTTCTGCACAACCCAAACAAGCTAAGACTTCTTAATTGCGAAGCAACAATTGTTAATTAAGACTTTCAATGCAATGAAATTTTTAGCTTCAGAACAAGCTTGCCAATTCTTATTACCAATTTGTGTACTTGAAGCGCATTGCATTGTATGTTTTGATGCAAAGTTTCCTCATTAAATTACTAATCCCTAAAAGGTTAATATGTACTTTGCCCCACAATATCAATTGCCAAATCTTGAAGAAGACAGTAGAAAGTGTATAGCACAAACATTGAAAGCTAAGAGTAGGGTTTAGGATTTTGGTCAACAAAGACTACCAAACATTAAACAAAACAAAAGAGTTACACTTGATATAAAATGTCCTTAAATTTCATTGTGATAGTTGATGTCCAACAACACCATTTACACTCCCTTATCTTTCTTTAAAATTTCCTTAGATGTACCAAATCTCGGTGGACTTAATTCTTCCTAGATTAATAAATCAAAGACATGGTAACAAATACAAAAAATGTCCTAACGGAAACTTTCATCTTTTCTTAATATAACAAGGCTCAGCATAAATAGGATGCCATTTAAAAGTGGAAAAGAAACTCGAACATAATTTGCAGTAATACATGAATGAATCTCCAAACAAATGACAGTGCATTAATAAATCGATCAGAAATGCAACCCTGACAAAGATGTACCCAAGTCCTTGCCTAGGAGCCATATGGATAGAACTATCTAAACAGAAGAGCAGACCCCCTCCCCCCACCCCAAAAAAAAAGGGAAACTTTTTTTGAAAAAGTAGGCCCCAAGGATTAGAAGTACCAAATCCTGAAGATTACCATCATAGGAACAAAACTAACAGAGAACCACAAGGATAAGAACGCTTGAAAGCACATCGACATCTAAAGGTAGCAAATATTAAGATCAATTGAATTTGACACATAAGAACAAACCAAGGTTTGTGTTGTACCTCTATTGAGCCTGAAGACAACTAACTGAAAGTTCTATAAAATCCACAGCAGGTAACCTCCCCAACCTGCTAGCTTTGATACTGCAGTGACATCCACAGACAATGTCATAAAAACATTCTGATAGGTCAAATCTTCAATCTTTTACATCAACAAATGTAAAACAGGATGAAAGGCTAGGTATTTGCTAAGTGCATGGCGTTCAGATCATGAAACTTAAAAATTTCAATTCAAGAAACTTGATGGGGACCGAACTAATTGCAGCGTTAAAAACAAATGAACAACTAAGACAAAATGACTGTTTGAATACACCAAAGGATAGATTGTTCAATTAAGGAGAAGCACGCAAGAACAAATCAAGTAATTGATCTCCATTAACAAAGTGAAGTTCTGCAGGACCTATCACTATCGATGAAAATCAGGCACATAGAGTGAATAACTAGTCAATGCTTTATGCGAATGGCTTCACCCTTCATCTCGGGTTTGAAATTACAACTTATTGATTAGTAAAACAACAGTCCTTTTAGCGATTAACAGACATCAAACTGAAAAAAGCATTTTGCACATTGTTTGGCCAAACAGTGAATCATCACCAATTGAAGTCATTATCATTGGTCAACAAAACTCTCAACTAATAAAATAGAAAACTATAGTCAAATCTTTTTGTTAGGGATACAAGGCTAGCAACAGGGGAAAGTAAAACAAGTGCCGCACTGCAACTGCAACTTTCAGAAAGATTAACCAAAAGCTTGCATACACAAGTATTTACTTAGATTACTGACAGTTGCCTTCTTTATTTTTAGGTTTCTCCTTTTTTCTTCAAATGGTAGAACAGCTATTTTTTATCATCAATTTCTTGAAATCGATCAAACTTGTGACTGAAAACTTATTTTGCAATCGCATGTTTATCTCAAGAGCCAAAGTAAATAACAAGGAAGCCATCCACAGACCACAACATTGAAGAAGTTATAGCACAACAGACGAAAACAACGAACCAACCGAAAATCAATTGTTTATGAGTTTTCATACTATAGATGGAAAGCACAATCCAGATTCCGGATAACATTCCGCAGATAATCAGATCAACAAATTACCTTTGACGTTCTATGTTATTGCCTATTCTTCGTCAATGAAAAGCTAAGAACGTCTCCTGGACTTCACACCAACTGTTTCTTGAAAACACAATGTCAATATTAAAAGGAAAAAAAATTGAGAGGGAGAGACAAGAAAAAGGAAAATAAAGCTGGTAATGGAGAGTAAATCAAATACTGTTCTAATCACCAACCAAATTTTAATAGAATGTTTACAATGTACCAATGAAAATATGTTACAGGGTTTCAGCTGGAACTGATATTTTAAAATGAAAAGCCATTATGCCACACCTTGCGAGGCAAGCGGCGTCCCAGGTGCATTCTATATGTTAACAATGCTGGAGAACAAAGTTAACCTGAAACATAACTGGTTGATGGCAGGAAGCAAATATTTTCTCCACCAATATCACCATAGAGGCCTGCTAAAAAAAAGTACAAATGATCGTCTGAGAAACAATGTTCGCAACTTCCTTTGAATGGATATCTCTCACCTCAACCTCATCTTGTGTCAGTAGAGTGCAAAATGGAAGAATTGAGATCAAGGTCAAGGTTAACCAATTAACCTCTCAGCCAAACAAACCACCAGTCCCTAAACCCCCTTGTTGCAACTCCTTTCTTCGCTGCTCTTCTAGAGGATCTGGACTTTTCATTATTCTTCTCAGACGCCTGATTATAACAAGAAAATAACTTAACAAATAAATAAAAATATACAAGGACTTGATTGATATATAAATGCTTAACTGTTTCTCGTTTAAGATACCTGTCTTGAGCATGCTGAGCAGGAAAAGTAGGCATAAAATCTTTAGACTTTGGAAGAGGAACTTCACGAAACCAGTCATGGTTAAGAGCATCTTCAGCAGTAATCCGCTGCAAGAAAAATACAATGAGCCTTATTAAGCCATTATACCAATCAATTAAACTATTTATTGAAAAAAAAAAAAGGCAATCAACTAACAAGTAAATCAAGGTCTCTCAATTTGTTATCTACCTTCTCAGGGTCATAAGTCAGAAGTTTGTTCAATAAATCAAATCCAGAATCAGAAAGCACCGGCGATCCAGTGAAGGATGTTGCTGGAAATTTCTTACGCAGTAGGTTATACCTGAAAGAAACATATCAGGTGGTTAATGTTAAAAAGGATGAATGGTGTGTAACAGAAAAGTGTCACCAATGGAGGCCAGATAACCAGACCAGAATCACCCAGCTGGAAGCCTGGGAAAACAGCACCAAACATAAGAACAACTGCATGTTGTTATTAACTTGAAAAATAACTTCATGAATAATTAATGCTTACTGATGCTTGACAAAGTTGACCTTCACTCCAGGTAACTTGGAAAACCCAGGCCAGATAGTCTCATTTGGGGTACCAAGGATACGGAAAATCTGCAATAATAAAAGCCCATAGAGGAGTAATTAGACTGCTTACTCGCTAAGCAAAGCAGTGGAAGTTTTAGAGGTCAATGGCAAGTAGAAAGCAACTGAACAAGTTTACCTTGTATTATTTTTCTGAAATTTAATTTACCTTGTCAAGTTGATCAACTTCTGTTTTCCCATTAAACAGAGGTTCCTTTGATAACAATTCAGCCATAATGCAGCCCAGTGACCACATGTCAATTGCCGTTGAATATTGCTTGGCTCCCAAAAGTAGTTCTGGCGCCCTGGATAAATAGAAGAGAACATCATACACTTGACACCAAGGTGAGGATGCATGTCTATATTGTGTGTCAATGATAAAGGACATCGAAGAAGCAGCAGCCAAAAAGAGTCCTAAGAAAACTGGCTTCAGAGATAAGACGTCCACAAGTTCAATGCCAGACAATCAATAAGGGTAACATCCACAAAGAAACAATCCTTCTATCGTACATTTATGCATATCTGAGGAGCTAACAATAATACTTGCAAAGAGCCCATAACTCATATGATCAGCATCAATAGAAAATGATGATTCAAATTATTAAAGGGGCATAAACAGTGCCAATTAACAATCGTCCATATCAGACACCCCAGGAAAAATACAAAGCCAATACAGAAATACTTTGAAAATCAAGAAAGGACAAACCTATAGCAAAAACAGTAAGAAATCAAATTAAAAATAACCCAGGACTGTAAAAACAAGAAAAAACAAAAAGAATACCTGGCACTAAAATAAAATAAATCAAACAAAACAGCAAGCCAAACATATTAACTATGCAAGTGGGAGTACCATATGTGCAAGTTCAGCTTACCTGTACCACAGAGTAACCACCAAATGAGTATACGGTTTCAATGGGCTCCCATATTGACGAGCCAACCCAAAGTCACAGATCTTCAACTCACCGCGATTGTTCAAAAGCAGATTTGATGTCTTCAGATCTCGATGAAGCACCCAATTATCATGAAGATACTTCGTACCCTCCAACAACTGAAGCATTAAGCATTTAACCTCACTCTGACTAAATGGCTGTCTCATCGACTCCATGAGTCCTTTGAGATCATGCTCCATGTATTCCATCACCATAAAAATGCTATCAAGGTTACTCCCTACCACAACTTCTTTAACATCAACAATTGAAGGGTGATGAAAAGAAAGAAGAATATTTATTTCCCTCAGAGAAGTCAGTGGAAAACCTTCCCGTTCTTTCTCCATCTTTACCTTCTTCAATGCTACAATTTCCCCAGTCTTCTTGTCTCTGGCTCTATATACAACACCGTAAGTGCCTTCATCTATTTTATTCAGTCTCTCAAACTCGTCAACACTTCTACACCCCTGAAGCATGTTTACAATTCTTTGGGGGGTACCAGCAGGTTCTGGTGTATCATGAGAATCATCTTCATCCTCGGGATCTGTATCAGAATCATTGCTATTGTGTTCCTCATCAATCTCCATGTAGTCCTCCCTCCCAAAATCATTACCAGGATAATCATCCCCACTCAAAGAACCAGCACGGGTGCCTCGTTCATCAGATTCAGAAGACCTACCTCTAGCTGCATCAGATCCTTCTCTCTTAAAATCCCCAGGATCAGGAGTCGATGACTTGTTCCGTACTCTGGAATCCAAGGACTCCAAATGAGGCATCTTCTTCCTCCTTTTAGGAATTTCCTGATCCTCCACAATTTCACCCTCATCAACAGGAGAATTGTTCCCAGCTGCCCATCGTGAAGACGATATATTCCTCATTGGAACATAATCTTCATCTTCTATGTGCTCTGCTTCCTGGTCATTAGCCCATCGCTCCTCCACTGGCAAGGAAGCCAACTCTACTGGAGGTTCAGATGCAAAATTGCCAACTGACCCTTTAACCACTGAACCTTTCAGTGAGGAAGCCAACTCTACTGGAGATTCACATGCAGAATTGCCAACTGACCCTTTAACCACTGAACCCTTCAGTGAGGAAGCCAACTCTACTCGAGACTCAGATGCAGAATTGCCAACTGAACCTTTAACCACTGAACCCTTCAGTGAGGAAGCTAACTCTACTGGAGACTCAGATGCAGATTTGCCAGCTGAACCTTTAACCACTGGCAACGAGGAAGCCAACTCTACTGGAGACTCAGACGTAGAATTGCCCACCGATCCTTTAACCACTGAACCCTTCAGTGGTGAAGAAGACTGCAAATTCTGGTTTTTACTACGTTTAACAGGAGATATCTCTACACCACCATCAGGAATAACACTAGGTGACTGGCGGTATGCCTTTGGCAGCGGCGGGGGTGGAGGGAGAGCAGTCACTGCAGGGGAGCTCCTACTTTTTGATATGTTACTAGCTGCTTTATCATCTCTATCCCAAACTATCGGAGAAAACTTCCTCTTCTTCTCCACAGGTGTCTGATTCCCGTTTTCCACTGCTTTCAAAACCTCACTCTCTTTATGAGCATGTGACTCAGAGTCAATAGCATCATCAGACCCACTCTCACTGGACAACTCACCTGGCTCCCTATCTGTGGCCCTAACTGAAAAACCACACCTCTGTGGCCCTCGGGCACCACCACTACCACTGCTTCCTGAACCACTCCTGCTAGAAGAGGACTGATACCCACCATTAGTCACGTCTCTCTCCTTAATATCCTTCTGCCTAACCCTAGCTCTGTCTCTCAAGTCACGAACTCGACCTCTATTGTTTTCACTGTTACCATTCCCAATTCTATCATATTTATCCTTGGAATATGCAAAATCCTCCCTTGACAATTCAAAATCAGACTCCCGGTCCTTGAATTCATTATCCTGATATCCCTCATGTCTCCCAGCTGCCATATATCCCAACCTCAAAGCTTCACAGTACAAAACCTTAATTCCAACCCAAGTAACCTTTATTATCGCCTATAAAACCCTAATCCCGCCAATTTCTTTCAAACTTCCCGAAACTCACGAAAATTAAATTTCGAAACCCTAAGGCAAATAATTTTGAGATCCAAAGGTAACACAACAACTAAGCAACAAAGAAGTAAAAAAAATCAATTCGAATACCCGTAAATTAATCTATTAAGCCCCAAATTGGCTCGAAAATCAAAGAGATGCAAAGATAAAAATTTGAAACCCTAGGAAATGAAGAACAAGATAAATACAGAACCGAATGATAAAATCTCAATCTCGAAGCGGATGTACAGCAGTTGGCGGGCGAGAGAAAGGGAGAAATTAGGGTTTACCGATCAGAGAGAGAAAAGGCAGCCACCGCTGTTTCTGTTCTATGGAGACAGAGTGAGCGAAGATGCACCCTCGATCGGGAAAGAGAGAGCCGAAACGGGATCGCAAAAGAGTGTTTTGAAGTAGCGTACAATCGCCAATGACGGGTCGTTATTTTTTCAAGGATAAATTATATTTCAGACCTTAAATATTTATCAATGCTCTAATTCGGTCATCAAAATCAAACATTGTGAAATAATTAGTTAATAATCTTCTTATAGTCTGAAAAACAGTTAATCAACGATTTCTTCAATAAAATTAGTGTATCCTAAAACACTCCAATATATTGTCATGCTCTCTTTGTTTCGTGGAACTTGAAATGAAGGAGTTGTGGGGTAAGATGGTAGTAGAGTTCTGAAATTTTTTGTTTTAATAGGCGTTGGGTTTTATAGCATGAATTGAAAAGATGGTATGGTCTGTTGTCATTGGTGTGTGCATAGCATTTATGGTAGATCTGGTTACACCAAATCAAACCATAAATAGGTTAACGAGATATCGTTTCTTATTTTGAACTTTACGGACCTATAAGCATACTCGCTCGTTCTTATATTATGTCATGTTAAGACTTTAAGAGCATCTCCAATGCTCTCTTTATATTAAGATTTTTCTTTATAATAAAGAGGTTTGATCCAAATTTCATCTCCAATGCTCTCTTTATCACAATCTTTATCTTTAAAATTAGTATAAAGAGTGTCTTTGGCTCTCCAATACTAGTAGAGTCCAAATGACTCTTTATCTTATATTTTATTAATGAAAATTACTATTTCCAATGCCACTCAACCTCTTCACCAATAGTCTCTATGGGTTTTATAAATTTTGTCAAAATAAAGAGTTAAATAGAGAGTAGCATTAGAGAGGATATTGATCTTCTATCTATATAATTAATGATACTCTCTATTTACATTAAAAATGCTAGTTAAAAGTAAAAAGCACCATTGGAGATGCTCTAAGCACCCACGATGAATAAATATTTAGGGTGTCGTCCGTGCCATTTGGAAGGGAGCTCTGCGAGCTATAGCGAGTTATGCATTTATTTAGGGTTTTTTTTTATCTCTTTTCTTATTGGTAAGTTACCACTCACCACGCTAAAAAGATGTTTTGTGGATTGAATTTGAGTGTTGCTTTCGAGTACGAGTTTGTAATTCTCATATCCTATTGTGATATTTACTCATCTTTTATTGATTGAACTCGGTGTGAGATGTGGATGTGGTTGGGTTTAAAATTAAAGGATGCTCGTATTTGATGTATTCTCTCCTTTTATTTGATTATAGTAGAATTACGATTATTTTCTCATTCATATTTTCTTAAAAGAATTTTCATTTATTTTGTTTTAAAAACAATCCTAATAAATTGGGGTGAGAGTTTTAATTTGAGCTATGATCCGATCTAAGTATCTACAATTTGCACTTGAGTATTTCTTAAAATATTTTGTGAATTAGTAGTTAATATGTAAGGACAAAAAAATTTGTATTGTTACGCTTAATTTTGTAAGCAAACTTGCTTGAAGATTATCATATAACCTTGCATTGGTACCAAGATTTTATATATATAATGAAAAAATAGATAGTTTATCTTATATATATATATATATATATATATGAAAAAACCAAACCGAAATGAATGCGAAATACCAAATCAATTTGGGTTTTTATTTAGTTTAGATGGAAAAAAAAAAGACAAAAGTAATTAGGTTTTTCGAGTTAGGTTCCGTTTTTGAAATTTCAAAATCGAATTCACCCGAAACCAAGATATATAAAAAATCCCTAATCATCACACACTTCAATTCTCAATCTTTTAGAACACCTTCTTCTTTGCTAACCAAAACCTTAAATGTCCTACTAATCTTACGACACAAATCCCTCAAAACCCAAAAATCGACATATCGAAGGTCTTGTACACTCGATCCTCCATAGTTAAGTAAAAGGAACCAATTTGTGATCAAAAGAAAAAGAAAGGTTGGGTTGAACATTAGACTTACCTAATTCTTATCATGATCATCATCGCGAGTAGAGTACAACAGGTTTAAGTTGGCTTGAAGCTTTGGTGGATTTGAATCGTCGAAAGAGGAAAAGGGTGGTAATGGAAGAGTTGAACGATTCTCACTACATATTGATGATAAGGAATAATTTGTTGCATAAAAGGTGAAGAAATTTGAAAAAAAAATGGTGGAGACTCCCTATGAACCCAACTTTATTATTTATTTGTTTTCTAACTCCAACCCATATTTCTATGTCTGGGTGATGGTTCTTGATTACTAATTTTGCGAGCCAAACAACCTTGGCAAGGAAAGAAAGAAATATGTGTTTTCATTTTCTTTAAGGGTTTTTTTTTAACTCTATGGGATGGGGTAGCTTCAAGTTTCTCAACACTTGATTTGGCCCATCGAAGAATAAATAAGCTCGTGTATTTACATTCCCAGACTTCTTCATTTTTTTATTTGACTTGTTTGGATTTTGAATTTTGCACAAATCATTTTCTTATTTTTGTTCACGATTGAATCCTAAAATCAAAAATTCGATTATAATACCTAGATTCTTTTTTGGTTTGGCGTCGGGTATGATTTTGGTAGATTTGGTTACTAGAATCCGAATTTTTCAACTCAAAACCTAATAGCTAAATATTCATCGCCACCTAAATCATGAAATTTTTTTAAAGTACCTTAAAAATAACTACCAACAATTATTTCATAGCAATAAATAGACAAAAGGAGAAGATGTAAACAAAAGAGACAATTTTAAAAAAAATATTTTTCACTCTAAGTGAAACTATTCTTATTACTTTCTATGGATTTAGATGTAATTTTCTTTTACATTTTTGTATCCGTATTTCTCTTTATAATAGACCTATATAGTAATTAGTAATAGTTACTTTTATAGTACTTTAAAAATTTTCAACGTCATGCCATCCTTTTATCTAAAAGGATATCTATTGTGCTAGTATTGGAATGAAAGTTTAGAGGTTTTCTTTTTTCATGAGTACCTACGACCACATATGAGGACATAAATATGTCATAAATTATAGAGAAATTTTATAATACACAAGGAGTAACTAGTGGCATGTATAATAGTTGCTCTTTTAACTCACTTTGAGGAGAGAGATAGACACAAAAAAAGAGAGAGAAATAGGAGAGAGAAAATAAAAAAATTTGAGCGGACGTAAAAATCTTCTTATCACTTTTGGTGGGTATAGATATAATTTTTTTTTTTTTTGTATCTATCTCTCTCCTTAAAGTAGGCCTAAGGAATAACTATTGTAGATACCACTAGTTACTACTTGTGTATTATAAAATTTCTCTAAATTATAGACTATAATTCATGAGACTTCAAAATTAAGTTTTTGGAACTCCACAACACTTGTAATATGACCAAAATTTAGGTAGCTTAAGCATCTCGGCAAATGAGATTATTTGAGCATCGATAGACTATTTCATCAAAAAGCTAGCAATGAAATTCGAACATAAAATCTTAAGTTAAACGAGTCTTCTCCTTTTCACTTAAATCAATTCTTTAAATTAACAAAAAAAAAATTGAAGAATAGTTTAAATAATAATTTTCGAGTATCATCCAATTTTTTTCAAGTAAATTATAAAAATAAATTAAAAAAAAAAGAAGTCAAGTTACTTGAATCGGATAGAATTAATCATATTCTATCATTTTTCATTTTCTTTAATATCTAAAGTTAGTAGACTTGCAATTTTCGTAGAACTTAATTTTGGCTAGTCAAAACTTTCTTCAAACCCAAATTTACCTAGTTAATAGTAATTTTTTAAGCATTTTAGGATAAAAAAAAGTAATAAATGATGGGTTAAAAAAATTCAAGTTACTAGGATTACTAAATGGGTTGGGTCAAATTAAGTGATAAAAACTATAATTATATACAGTAGGATGATAATAAATTAGGTGAATAATTATTCGACTCCAAAGGCATATTTTTCATTCAAATCATTCACTTACTCACTCCTAAGTGCATCTTAATATTAAGTGATGTTTGATAAAGCTGAAAATTAAATACCGAATCCGATAAATATTGAATTTTAAGTGTTGAATAATTAAGTATTGAATATGTTGTTGAGAAATTGTTTGGTATTTACTGAAAAATTAAGTGATAAATATAATAAGGTTGTTTGATAAGTACTGTTACTGAACATATCACTACAAAAAAAAACTTTTAGCAACGGAAGAATCCGTCACTAATCTAAAATAGCGACGGCATAGCGACGGAAATAATTTCGTCGCTAATATGATGGTCGCTAAATTTTAGCGACGAAATAGTATGTCCGTCGCTATATTTAGGGACGAAAAATCCGTCACTACCCAATCAATCCGTTGCTAAAATTAACTTCGGATTGCACCCTAATCTATCGCTAATTTAAAAAAAAATCCATCGCCGATCCGTCACTAACTTTGAAAATAAATTCATTGCTACGTTTGAAAATAATTACGTCGCTAATTCATCGTTAATTTTGAAAATAAGTCCATCGCTAATCCGTCACTAAATGCCATCACTAAGTCATCATTAATCCGTCACTAAATTTCTTCACTTATCCGTTAGTAATCCGTCGCTAATCCTTC